ATCATCCCTTCAAAATTCATTTACACCAAGGACTCAGACCTACCGATTTCGAAAGACGAACGGCATTCATTGCTCACATTCAAGTTTTAGTCCATGACAATCCAAACATCCTCAATCAAATCTTGTGGAGTGACGAATCCCGCTTCCATAATAATGGTACTGTTAATCGACATAACATGCACTATTGGTCACAGGACAACCCTCACTGGATTAGAGAAACCAATTTCCAAACAATGTGGGGTGTGAACGTGTGGTGTGGTTTACATAATGGACGACTCATCGGGCCCCATTTTTTCCAAGACACTTTGACGGGCCACCGATATTTACATTTCTTGGAAAATTGTTTACCTGCCCTCCTGGAAGATATTCCACTTGAAGAACGACAACAAATGTGGTGGCAACAAGATGGTGCTCCTGCACATAACCATAATGTAGTTACTACATTCCTCAATGATACTTTTCGAGACCGTTGGATTGGAAATAGTGGACCTGTGCGATGGCCTGCACGTTCTCCAGATCTCACGCCACTGGACTTTTTCCTGTGGGGTTAATAAATGTTTGATTGATTGATTGATTGATTGTGCTAACTTGCTTTGCTTCCGAATAAAGGGGTGTCATACTTTTACTAAAAATGTTGTTACTTTAATAATAACTCAAAAGACTTTTCGTATAACGAATGTTTTGACTAAATAATTTGCTTTCAAAAATTATACTAAAATTATCGTGTGAAGTGAAATTATCAATGGCGTTTGATATTTATCTATTTATTGTTCACTGAAGACTACTTACCTTGTGCTCTGCACAGGTGTTCTATAACCTGCAGATTATCCTTTCCAATGGCATCATGTAAAGCAGTATCACCGTAATGATCAGCGCAATTCGGGTTTGCGCCTGCTGCCAGCAAGATTTCAATACATTTCGCTGGTTGTTTGTGAGCCGCTATGTGTAAAGCAGTACATCCACTGAAATTGGCAGCATTAACCTCTATTCCAGTTTTGACCAATAAATCCAAAACCTATAAAATTGATCCGAAAATACTGAAATGATACTTTTCAATTAAAATCATATCAGAAATGAAAGGTAATACATTTAGTGATTTCAAAACCGCCGGTCTGACAAGGTTGTCTGTTGAATATCCGTCATCTGAAGCCGTTTACGAATATTGATCGTTTAACAACTGAAGAACGCATAAAAATAGTTGAAACTTACTACAGACGTGGTGGTTCAAGTGACCACTTTTCTAGCATCACGAGATGATTATGGTCGTCATAATCGAACTACTGTGCAAAGAATTGGCAAGATTATGAAGGAATTTGATGAGACTGAAAGCGTTACAGATGTGGTCAGGCCTGTGAATCATCGCAATATGAGCAATAGCGAAAATATAGCTTCTGTTGGTAACAAAGTGTGGCGGATAATCCGGGCTTGTCGATTCCACAGCTTTTTCAGCAATTGGACCTATCTTTTGGAGTATTAGGCATTTGGCTTTGCACCTCCATCCATTTGAAGTCCATCTCATGCAACAATTAAAGATGGCTGACGATTCACAACGCAGTAGATATGCTTACTGGGTGCTAGAGCAACAGGTTTCAATGCTGATTTTTCTAATGTAATTTTCTTCAGCTCATTTCTCACTCAGTGGTTACGTCAACAAGCAAAATTGTCGCATATGGGTCTCGGAGGAACCAGAAGTGATTGTGAAACAACCATTGTATCCGCAAAAAGTGACTGTTTGGTGCGCATTATGATCTGGAAGTGTTATTGGGCCGCATTTTTTCGAAAATGACGCTGTGACTGTGTGATAACGCGACTTTTTTGGCCTGCAACTGAAGATTATGAAGTAGATGACATTTGGTTTCGACAGGAAAGTGTCACCAGCCACACAACACGACCGATTTTGGTTTTATTGTGTGAGAAGTTTCCACAGCGCGTAATTTCACGTTTTGGCGACGTCAATTGACCACCTAGATCATGTGACTTGACGCCGTTAGACGTTTCTTTGTGGGGCAACGTCAAAGACCGTGTCTACGCAGATGATCCCCTAACATTGGAGCATTTGAAAACCAACATTCGTTATCGCCGAGATACTGCCTGAAATGTGCTAAAAAGTGGTCGAAAGCAACCTTAAAAGGATCGGTTGCTGCAACCAATCTAGAGAGGGTCATTTAGATGACACTGTATTTCGTATATATTGAATGGCAAGGTCCAAGAAATATAATGAAATAAAAGTTTCATCGGAATCATAGTTTTATGTGTGTTTCATTTAACTTTACTTTTGAAACCGAAAAATGGATAACCCCTTATGAAATAAGAATTAGGTTCACCAGAAATGAATTTAATGAATTACATATTAATGAAATCTACAAAAAATTCCCAAATATATTACTGTACAATATAATTATTAGCTTAGTAAAATTTGACATGTATAACAAGTATCATTTTACATTTCATTCAATAATTGAACATTGTGAACAATCATTCTGCTATGACTTGAAGGAACCACTAACATTTAAATTTTAATAAACATTCTACATTTGGTATCAACTTCAAACATGAATAAAGTACATATACACATTTCAGGGGGAAGGTCCTCTGTGGCTATCTGTGAACACAGAGTGTTCACAGTTTTATAGCTATAATTTGAGATGAAAACAAATCACATTCCATACTACATATTTATTGGACACTTGAAACACTCACCTCTGGCTGGTTACCGAATGCTGCGTAGTGCAAGCAAGTATCTCCGTCGTTGTCGCTAGCATTCACGGAAGCCCCACATTTGAGTAAAAGTTCGACGACGTGCACGTGTCCCTGGTGAGAGGCTACTTGGAGTGCAGTTTTGCCGCTGCTACGCCCTTCTACCGCATTGCGGGGAGCATTTTTCAGCAGCCCCCTCACCGCTTCCAAATGGCCCTGAGCTGCTGCTCGTACTAGCTGATCCGCTAGACTGTTACTCTGATCTTCTGCCTGTTTGGCAGGTGACCATTGTACTGAAAAATTCAGTTGGTCGGTTCAGAATAATAGGGTTTGAAATTTGGAATGCAAATACTAAAATAATATTGGAGAAGGCTCTGGAAAGAATTCTCATCTAAATCGTAAAATAATTATACACTAATTCACCCCCACTCCCCTAAAAGTATCCCTACATAGACAACTTAAACTTTTCAAGATTCTATGCCACTACCATTACAAGAATGAAAATGAAGCATTGTAAGTTTCCTGTATATTTGGCAAAAATAGGCATTGATGTAGACCAGCCATTCTCAACCTGCAGCCCAAGGGCCGCATACGGTCCGCTGGGTCTTTGTGACTGGCCCACTTGGAGTTGTAGAAGACTTTTGATTTTAGTTTCAATGAAAGGTCAAACCCGAGGCACAGATTACATTGATATTATTTGAGATTCTTTAGAGAAGAATGAAATTGACACAAAATAATCGTGTTTGTGCACGGATGCCTGTCCTTCAATGACTGGATTCGAAAGTGGATACATTACATTGTTCGAAAAGAAATATAACCTTACAAATTTAATTACATTTCATTGCATTATCCACCAAGAAAACTTGGCAGCGCCTGCTGTAAATCCGGAAATAGAAGCAGTGATGAAGACTGTTATCAATATTGTCAATTATATTCAAGCAAGAGAATTGAATCACAGAAAATTTAAAATCCTTTTGGAAGAACTGGGAAGTGAGTATAAAGACGTCCTTCTACATACCTCAGTGCGATGGCTTTGTAGAGGAAAATTTTGGAAAGGTTTTTTTTCTCTACGCCATGAAATAATGTTTTTAGAGCAAAATAAATAAGTGTACCCTGAATTGCAAATGGGTGGATGGTGGTTTCTTTTAGCCTTCATATGTGATATTATAGAAAAACTAAATAGCCTTAATTGAAAATTACAAGGTGAAAATAACATAGTCTCACAGATGGAGAATGAAGTATTAACTTTTGAGGAAAAGCTAATTATTTATCATGAAGATTCAGAACAAACAGCTGCAAAACTTTACAACTATGAGAAAGACTACAGAGGACCGTATTGACGTTTTTGAGTAAAACTGCTTCATAATTTCAAATTATATAACTGCATTATTAGATCAATTTCAAAAAAGGTTCCAAGATCTAAGAAAAATCAAAATATGTTTGCTTCTTGTAGAAAATCCGTGGCATCTAGAAACAACAACTATTTCAGAGCTAGCATCAGTTTTAAACTTTAATTACTCAGAGTTGTTCGATGAGTTCATCGATTTTAAAAACGACACCAACTTAGCAGTCCTGTTTAAAGAAAAAAGGGAAAAAAATATGTGGAATTTTGGAGCATTGCTCCTCAAAAATATAAAAGCCTCCAAAGAAGTGCCCAAATCTTATTAAAATTCTTTGGGTCTACATTCGTGTGTGAATTGTCTTTTTCGAAAACGAAATACAGAAAGAATATGTTCAGAAACAAACTTACAGACTCTCATCTAGATGATGTAATAAGGTTAGCATTCAGCAACAAATCAGATCTTGACAAAGTTTTGAAAAAGTGTTCACAGTATCAAAAATCTCAATAAAATATGTTCGAAAACAAACTTACAGACTCTCATCTAGATGATGTAATAAGGTTAGCATGCAGCAACAAATCAGATCTTGACAAAGTTTTGAAAAAGTGTTCACAGTATCAAAAATCTCAATAAAATAAGATACGAAACATCTTTGTTAAATCCTGAAGTCAACTCTAGTTCTTTCAAAATTTGGTCTACATCGCATGTGGCTTCATGATAACCTTATATTATAAAGGTTACAAGGTCATGTATTGTATAGCTGGCTTTATTGTGACCACCTTTTTTTTTTCAATAAACAATACCAATTTTGAATTATGTTTTTTATCAACACTTGAATATTTTTTCTAGCACGCCCATTAAGACCGAAACGTGTTTGTGGCCCCATTAAAAAAAAGGTTAAGTATGGCTGATGTAGACCCATTATGCTCATGTGACGATTTTCTTTAGAGAACATAAATGACATCCTATTTCCATGTCCCAACTTCCAACTGTACCAGCCCGATTTCTTAGATAATTTGCTTTCCTCAAATGTATCGTTTCCAAACAACATTCACTGGGATATTATAATTTGAAATATACTCATAAAAACGGACACAACGTTTGAAACAACTTAATAAATGTAGAAGTAAAAATGACGATCCTTTAAATTTAAGCTGTCGCTCAACTCACTTTACCAGTATAGTTTCTATTTATATTTGAACTATATGAAGCATAAACAATTTCAGAGTTGCGAAGTTCAAGAGCTTTCAAATTACTTTGAATTGAATTCCTTTTTTCTAGGAAAATTCCTATACCACCTCTTCCTATACCACCTCTTCATTAACAATAGTTAAAGCTCAGAAAATTTTACTGAAACTCTACTTCATTCATTGAGATGTAAAATATCACCACAATATTCAAACCAATAATATAAATTTCATGTCACATAAATGAAGCATTTCAGTGTTACGAAAATAAGTTCATTGCATCTTACTTGACGGCTCTTGTCTTTGGTTTTGAAGAGCATGCATTGTGTTTGCCAGTTCCGCTGCACTCCCAGGGATGATCCTCACACACTGAGGATGCAACGTCCAAGTATGGCCTTCCAGCTGAACCCTCAAGTCTCCATCCGAATATACTTTGAGAACTTTACCAAGTTTTCCTAAGGACTAGAGAAAAGGTAAACTATAGATTTTCATCTTTTTGAACTAACTAGCAACTACAAAAGATTATTAACTTACATTTCTCATGATTTCAATCCATTCGCCGTGACCCCTTTGCAATTCTTTGACTTTTTCTGCATCTGTTATCAATGTTACTACATCTCCCACTGCGAAACTATTGACTTTATGAAGAGTGATGGGATTGAAAGTCCAACGGTTGTTGCAACCTTCGTATTGAACCCTAATGTCACCTTTGTCTGTCACCCGATGAACAGATCCAACTTTTCCGATGTACTGAAAAGGTTTAATAAATTATAATGATTGAATTCGACAAGTTAGAGGTGCAAGGAAAGGAGAAAATGCACAAAGTCCCAATCAATCTATAAGTTTTAGTAATTCATTTAAAAATATTCTCTCCAACAGCAAGATTCAGAGACACATTGATTTTTCTTTAGAAGGATTACATATGAGCAATTATGCAGCACAATCTTGATGCACTTTCGAATCACAGTGGGACTACTTACAGCGGGCATACACATCATACTGCAGACACCCCTACACTGGCACAAGGCATGAATTTAACGATTCACACGTGTTCCCAATTTCACTAAATTGACCTGTGAGTGGAAAGGCATATGTCCTCTTTTATGAACAGGAAGGAACGAAGTCGCACCTTGGTTTAGAATGGTTTTATAAACCAAAACCGGTCGTAACATATAAAAATCTTAGTAGAAATTAGGCAAAAGTTAGTTTCTTTATCCAGAATGTATAAATAAATGAGCTGATTTAACAAAGTTGGTTCTTACATCAGCCATCCTGGGATTCCATCCTCCATGACCCTGTTGCATAGCTTTTAGTTGGTCCACTGAAACAGTAACTTTTACTTTATCTCCGATTCCAAAAGGGCAAGGACCTGATCTACTAGGTCTAATTACTTGTTGATCTACATTTTGGCCTGAAAAGATCAATATTTACAATGCAACATCAATAGAAAGAGGCAGGGTAAAGTTTAATGACAAACAATTTTAAAGATAACAATATTTATGTTGGTGCATTCATAATAAACTGCTAATGAATGTGAATTTAAATATATCTCTGAACATTTCATGTGCTGTTTCAATAAGAAAAAACATTTGCAATCTCAGTTCATTGGCATCAATTAATAGATACTTATAGAAAAGTTTAGCTAAACAAAATAAAATTGATGAAAAATTAACATATTGTGATTAAAGACAGTTATTTAAGCAACACAATATCGCTGTTGACTCTTCCCTTGGAATAGATCTGATAGTTTTGGAAAATATTTCAATTGTCAATCAGCCAACCACATAAGTCTTCTGAAGATACGTGGGTAAAACGAGGTCTTGTCATTTAACGTGCGATCCCAAGAGCTTGATATAAAAAAAGAAATCATAATTTCTCGAAGTTGAAATGAAATTTGTGACACTTAGGAAAACTTTTGTGTTTGGGAGTAAAACAAAACTCCTGTAGTTACCGAAGCATTACATTTTTAGAGATTTGAGCAAAATTTAAGATTTCCTCTCTGGCCAAGTACCTGCATCTGATGCACATTATTCTACAGAAGAGTTTCTAAAGTATTAATTTATTGAACCATCGATCGTTTGCCTTTGAAAAACATGTTTTCATTACACATTCAATTTATTCATATTATTGTAAATATGGCATGTACAAAATTATTACAATTTTTCTTTACAAAATGGGGTTAGATGAGCTCTCTGAGTACAACGTACTTAGGCATAAATGCCTGTGTGTGTGTTGTATCCAGTGCTTCTCTAAAAACTATCTATTAGTACTGTACATAAACTATGATAAAAATTTTGGCGGGCAAAAATTTACAAAAATAATAGTGTAAAGCATAACTTCAAACACATGTGTATTTTATGTGTGCACATTAATTTTAATCAAAATTCTGAATGATATTTGATGATTGATAGAGCATAGGGAAAGCAGCAATGGTGGGTAATTCATTGAAACATTTTAGCATACCTTATGTTTCAGTTGATTCGAATTAATTTGATCTATATAAGTGTTTGAAGGCAAAAATTATTCATCATATTTGTCATACCTAAAACTGGAAGATGATCTGGATAATAATAACCACCGGAAGAAGATTCTACGAATTTTATGTCACAATTTCCTTTGTGGCCCAACCTATATACATTAGTAGATCCATAATACCAACGGACATTCACCACCGACCTACTACTCTCATTGTCCCAACCCCTGATGTCCAAAACAATACCAAGCTTTCCTAAAAGTGAAAGATATGCAGTGACGTGGAACAGTATTGGGAATACAAAAATTAATCACCTTCTCCCCCATCCTGGTTTCCCCATTCCCAATTGAAGCCCCTTACTACTTTGGCATCAACAAAAATCCCCCTCAACTCACATTTTCTACCATTGGCACGTGGTGGAAGATCGACCCTAAAAAAATTACTTAATTTTTGAACCGTGTTTCAGCAGAAAATGTATCTTCTACGGTTAATGAAAGAAAAAAAAAGTTTATATTAGTTGGGAACTGGTTCTTACGAATTATATTAATTCTCAACTCAACCAAAAATGCCTGAATAGTGGTTATTCTTACCTTCCTATATTTGATGACTTTTTCTAGAAAAAATATGTTAATTACAACTATTTACTGAAATATCAGATTTTTTATACTGAAATCAATGAAATAATGAAGGTATATGTGAAATTCAGACATACAGATACAGACAACAAAAATACAGTCACGGACATCAAATAATACGTAACAGGTTGTACAGTCTTTCTATCTCCTAGAACTGACACTAGGGTCAAAATAGTTCCCAATTAATATCAATATTTGGAAAACCAAACTTTTCAGTAAAGTGTCCATACTTACCCAACATAATTTGCAGAATCAAATCTTTTGAAAGTGTGGGTGAGGTTATGTTTATCTCCATGGTAACACATGTAACATAAGTCATAGTCATAGCAAATCATGCATTTGTACCGCATTCCGCTAATTCCCTGACTGTTACAACCATCACATACTATGTTTGGTTGCCTCACACCTAAACAATCAATCTTGTTAAGGACAAATAAAAACTGTCAGCGAAAAAAGATTTTTATTATCTATGCATCATTGATATGGTGACAAATTCCTATAACTGTTGATGCAGTTCTTAAACAATAAGAACTGCAGTAAATACTAGAATTTCATCCCAACAAAATGATGAAAACAGGCAAATCTAAATTTGAAATTATATTCCAACAAATTCTTACCAATTTGTGCATTATCGATGATTCTCAGATCAAACTTCCCTTCATAACCGACCCTATAATTTGTTCTGGATCCGTTATCCCATTGCACTACAACTGTTTTATCTGGTGCTCCAACTGTTCCTGTTCTTCCTATTTCACATACTGTTCCAATATGCCCTTCTCCCCCATCTGAATTAATTAAAAGAAGTAATTTTCAATTTAATCGAATAAGGTATGTTTAGTAATGTAAAATATTCACTGATTTCTATACAGGTTCTTCCTTTGAAAACTAAAATATGATCAAAATTATTCCAGATCATAAGAACATATCTGAAAAGGCACATACAATTTGATAATCTGTCATGGATCTGGAAGAGTTGAAAAATGGAGAAAACTGTACAGTCATAAAACTTGGAGCAATTTTATCAACCTTTGCACTAATTTTGATTGATAATACACTTTTTTGTCAATGAGCCCACTGAGAAGGCATTTCCTACACAAAATATTGAAAAGAGAGGCAGGAAACCATTAGAATCGAAAGAAAAGTCTAGCTAGGAAATAACTTGAAATGATCTTGAACATACAAAGAAAATCCACTGGCCCCTGCAGTGATAAGATCTATTGTTGAAACTTTTATCATTTATCATATGATTCATAGGATAATTAATATCCATATTTCTTTTCATCACTGGCTCAAACTATATATCTATGTAAGTTATGGAAACTGCAATGAATTCATTTGTTTGTAAAACTTTTATCATTTATCATATGATTCATAGGATAATTAATATCCATATTTTTTTTCATCACTGGCTCAAACTATATATCTATGTAATTTATGGAAACTGCAATGAATTCAATGAATAATCACACATTTGTTTGTAAACTGCAACACATGTCACATAAATATTGCTAAATACAAACAATAGAATTTTAGAAAAAGTAATGGTTGATTTGTCAGTTCTACCTTGGTTTTCCCAGTTCCAGTCAGGCCCCCTCACGATTCGAACACCAGGAGTCCACATGTTATGTCAAGATTCCTAATTTTACAGTTAAAACATTTTCAACATATCAGGAAAACTGAAATATTTTGCAGGAAAATGAAAGCTTAACTTTCACACCTCATTTAACAAAAACAAAAATAGTTATATTTCTTAATCTCCAACTATTTATTGTTAATTACATTATTCTTAGACCATCTACTTATAAACTGAGTATATTTATAGCAATTTCAATTAGTTCGTATCTTTCACTTGTGCGTAAAAGCAATAAATAAACATCTGACAATACAAAATAAGGTAAACTGACATTTCACAAGTATTTCCGTTTCTCTAGTTATTTCGTGACTTATATGACATGGAACAAAAAACAAACGTGGTGGGTTTCCCGATGAATAAACCGGTGCCAAACGAGAATTAATATTATTCGTGTCAAAGAGTACTTCCTAGTGTCATGTTATTATGATCAATTGAATAACCAAAAAGCTGGAAGCAGTGAGCAAATTTTTAATATAGTTTTCTTTGGTGAAACTAGTTTACTATCGGTATATTTATATTGTTTATTAATGTAGTGGGCAGATATATTAAAAGTTAACAAGATCTACCAATGAAAAACGCTATTAGTAAAACCCATAGAACTGTTTTGTGGTTGAGGAGGGGTTGCGTGCGGATTATCAAAAATTTTCAGTGCCATCTTGGGGACGTTTTGGAGGTAATAAGACAGAATGTGAATGAAAACATGCTATCACTTACAAAAGGGAGTTTAAAATGATGTTAGCAAAAATGTAACAAATAGCATCCTCATGTATATAGGCCAGGAAAAAAAATTGAGTGCACTAGATATGTGATAAAATAATAAGATGATTGTCATGAGACATGTACACATGCTTATTATGTAGAGTAGTATAATGCAAAGTATACATGCGAAAAAATTGTTGTCTTTAGACAGTTTTTACAAAGTGTCATTTTCGTAGTGACGTCGCTGACGTTTTTTTAACCTCAAAATGATAATCAAATGTGGTTATGTCGATATTATGTGATGTTAGTTCAAATGGTTAGAATGATGAAACAAAATGATATTTAGAATTAACACGTTTTTAAAAGTACAGCAACAGTTTATAAAACAAAAATATCTCCATAAATATATTTTTAAAATGGATAAGGCATACCTACGACATTTAGATGATGATCAATTTGAAATGACTTTCAAATACCAAAACCCAGAGCTAAAAGTGAATAGACCTTTTAATTTTAATCGAAAACTCTCCGAAACTGTCGAAACATTCTCAAGTAGAGTTTCAATTAATGTAGGTAAAGTTATTAACAAGAAAAATAAGAAATGTAAGGACCAAGAGACAAGTCAAGCAAATCAGTTGCTGGATGTAACATGGATTTTGAATGACAAAGAGGTGGAAAAGGATACACTTTGCTGTATAGTATTCCAACCTGGAAATCGTGTTGTCATGAAAATAGTTGATAAACCATTCCAAGTTATAGTTAATTCTCCATGGGTAGATGCCATGTCCTTACCCATGTCAATTTTAGCAAGTTTTCCTACTTATCCTTCCAAGTTTGAAACAGTCTTCACAATGAAAGCTTTATCGACATTTACTTGGTCCAAATCTAAAGATGAAAAGTCTTGGATAGACGTTGGTAATGATTTTGTTTACACACCCTGTAACGACGATATTGGTCATTATTTAAAGCTTAGCTGTATACCAAGAAATGAACAATCAGAAGGGCCAAGTGTTGAAACTGTTTCTGTTTGTAAGGTTGACGCAAGTCCAGGACAGTGTCCATTTGAAGTGAGGCATCAGTTCACTAAAGAAAGGACGAAAAACAATGAGTAGGTGAATATTTATATTAAACGATCTAGTGAATTTACACAAAACACAGGGGCTCATCAAGCTCATTTTCTGGGAATTCTGAGGCAGTCCAAGATAGTATTCAATTCACAAGGCAGTTGCAGAAAATGGGTAGGAATCAGAATTTATTGCCGAAATTCTTCTTGCTTATGCAATTTCACTTATAGATCTGGTTACTTACAGTTTCACCAGTCTCGTGGAGTGTTACTAATTAGTTGTATAACCTGAAATTTGAGAGTCCTTCTTGGATGGGAATGAAAATCTAAAAGTGATATTTCCATTTTCTTGGTTGAAACCATTTTTATTAGATTATTTGTATTTGTTTAATTTTAAATTTCAATAGTTATATATTTTCATTCATCAACATTTCATTTCAGTAAGCCTGATTAATGCCAGAAAGTTGGACAAAAGTATTTTTTTTGTGAAGCAGAAGTGTTTTTTTGGTACTAGGGAGCCATTTGACTTGTCCGTTTTTTCAAAGTTTTCAGAAAAACTGCAGCCTTACGGTTTATTGCGTTTTCTCTTCAATTTTTCCATGCCACACATTCCAGCAATCTTGTTCCCAGAACTTATTTATTCAAGTTTTTTCTTGGATGTTTGTCGTGTACTTCTGTCCATTATTTGGGCTGTGATTTAATGCATCAAATTCGCATGAAACATGAAGCGTTATGTTTGTCCCTTTATTGCATTGCCTGCAGTTGGTCTCCTTTATACAGACCGATTTTGTTTAGGTGTTCATGGACAATGTCCAGTCAGTAGCCATGTAATGATTCTGAGCTCATTCCTGCTTTGTTGTGTTGTTTTCCAGGGATATTTTTCTGGTACTCTTTACGGTTTTTCCATCGGCCTATTTCCCGATGGAAGATCTATAAGTAAGCCTCTAATCTAACAGGTAAGATTTGAATTGTTTAGTTAATTACATTTTTTATTTCAGGGTTCGTGTTGTTACTTACAATATCCTAGCTGACCTATACTGTAACTCAGATTATACTCGGACAGTTTTGCATCCCTATTGTCCACCGTATGCACTGGAAATTGACTATAGGAAACAGCTCATTCTGAAAGAAATAATAGGTGAAAATTCACATTTATTTAAAAATTAGTCAACAGTTTCATTTTGAAACTATACTTAATTCTTTCACAATCTAATCCAATACATTGAATCGAATATGTTGTTTGACAGACTAACCTCTGCAAGGTATCTTGCATAAATGTCTGTTGGATATAATTCAATATCTAGCGTGGTATTAACTGGAAAAGTAGTTGTTTCCTGGCAGGCGTGTACCAGAACCCACAGTGTAGGTAGTTGGAAGAGATGAATATTTCAAGATTATATTTTGAAATATTTATTTCCTAGTACGTATGTATCTCTCATTGATACAGTCTTCAGACACGATTTCTATGTAGATTATTACTGGGTTTCATCATGATACTGCTAATATATCCGTCATGGCTTGATCAAAATGATTACATTTATAAGAAGCTGAACAGTGGCCATCAACATTCCAATTATTATTCAGTATATTTTAGGGTACAACGCCGATATTATTTGTCTTCAGGAAGTCGACAGGAAGGTTTATAAATATGACTTGCAAACAGTATTAGAACATTTGGGATATGGAAGCGAACTATCTCTAAAGGGAGGAGAGGTAGCAGAGGGACTGGCTTTGTTTTATTCGAAGGAACGCTTTCGTTTACTGGAAACAAATAGGCTGGTTCTTTCGGAGCATATATCCACAGATGAACAGTTTTCGGATATTTGGGAGAAAATATCTACTAATGATAAGCTCGCTTCTAGGATATTGGATAGGTCAACAACTTTGCAAACAAGTGTTTTAGATGTTTTGGGACAAGACGAAGTTTTGGTGGTAGCAAATACTCACTTATACTTCCATCCAGATTCTGACCACATAAGGTTGTTGCACGGTGGTTTGTGTATAAGATATCTCGAGAATTTTGTCAAGGAAATGAAAAGAAAGGTCAGTGGAAATGTTATTTGAATAAAACTGGATGTCTTATTATTCCTATGAATCTATAACATTTTTAAAGTTATGATTCTTTCTAGATACCTAATAAACGAGTTTCTTTGATATTTTGTGGAGATTTTAACAGTGTACCAGAATGTGGCATCTACAAGTTATTCACACAAGGAGAGGTTCCAAAAGATTTCATTGATTTTCAAAGTAGTAAGTATTGAATGTCGAGATTCTATATTATTTTCGAGATTCTACATTATTTTACAGTTTCTGTCAATGCTTGAAATCATCTTCCGCAAACATTTTAGAATCAGAAATAGATTTTTTGAAATACGTATGACAATAATATAACACAGTTTTTATGGCATTTATGTTCATGAACTTCGAACCTTACAACTTGGACTTAGTATACAAAAATCCAACCATACATAATGTATCGCTGAATTAATTTGTTTTTCCATAGTTATACCAAAAAATTTTCTCTTGAAATCTACAAGTGTTTCACTGAATTCAATTTCATATGTTAGCTTGTATTCATAGAAACTCCTGTAGACTGACATTTATAAGCGTTTTGTTCACTTTGGGTATAGAAATTATAGTTCTCACTTCCATTATACATACGTATACACATATATACACACACATGCATATATATACACACATATACATACATAAACACATACATATAATATGAGGTATCATTGTTACATAATAAAGCAAATACTCATACTGACAATGTAAATACAAATAGGAAGAAAAACTGGTGGAAACAGAGAGAAATAGTCGAAGAGAAGGTGACGTTGGATTGTTCAACTAATTCAACATATTACCTACAATAGGATGTGGTTTATATCCTTAGCCTAGAGAGAACTTCGATTAGGAATCCAGTTCATAGACAGATTTTAATATGTATTTATTGGAGATTGCTCTAATGTCTGAAGGAACTAGGTTTATTAATTTTGGGCCAGAGTATGATATAAATCTCTGAGTGCAAGTTAATCTACAGCGAGGGACATTCGTCCCATTGGAAACGAGATATTGGCAAAAAACGCGCAGAAAGTGGTTTTTTTGATTTTTGACCCCCAATTTTTGAAGTTACGGCCGTCGAATCATATGTGAATTTTGAGAATACTTTCATAATGCTAAAATACAAAGTTTATACAAATTTACAGCTGGGTATGTCCACTTTCCTAGGCAAACCCCCTAAAACGACTGGACTAATTCATTTCACCACTCTTGAATATTGTATTAATTTTTCTGTTAAAAATAACATTTTCATGGCGACCCTTCTTCAGTCTAATATAAACGCTAAGTTATTCTCGTTTGTGTCAGTTACAAATTCAGTTTCACTTAATACTTCAAAAACAAAGTTGAATGGATATTTTTTAAACAATTTTCGTTAAACTTCAACTTTTATTTCAGACAAAGAGGAATCTATAAACAATGTAGAACTGAAACAGCCCTTCCAATTAGCTAGTGCATGCGGAACTCCGAAATACACAAACTTCACAGCAGGGTTCCAGGAGTGCCTGGACTATATTTTTTATGAAAGGAATAATTTTCAAGTCGCCCAAGTAGTACCTCTACCGAGTTACGAAGAAGTTTCTGCAAATATAGCGTTACCGAGTGTAGTTTTCCCATCAGATCATATTGCTTTGGTGTCTGATTTGAAGTGGTTATGAAATACTGAGAATATATTTCAGAGAGTTTTTTACATGTGATATATGTGTATGGACTCTCCACTAATGTAATTGGATACTAATTTGAACAAGATCAATTTATATTCTATTGACTACTCAGTTTGGGGACATATGTACAGGTTATCTTCAAAAATAAACACAGTGAGATATATTTTGTTTTCTTTTCCCTAAATACTCACCCATTTGAACATCTATAAAAATGGAAACAGATTATTCACAGAAATATGTATTAATGATGTATAAAATGCAACCTTCCTAACAATTTTTTTATTAAAAATTTTCTAATTGAAAAAGGAACTGGAGTCGCTGGCTTAGAATGAATCTGTCACAAACACTGTTTCCACACGGCAGAACTAAAACACATCTACATGAGTAGATCTGTTGTCAGGAGACAGTGTTTATGTTTGTTTCAGGAACCAAGTTTTCTAATAAAAAAAAATTGTTAGGTTAGGCTGCATAATCTAAATCTATATAAATAGGTAGGTACATTTTTTTCAGAGGACTTTTTAAAAATAGGTTTATTTTGAGTGGAACTTTTATTGTAATGACTCCAAATGACAAACGCTGGAAGATCACTCTAAATCTAGTTTTATTATTTCTATGTGCTGAATCAGCTCTGCTTAGTTAGCACTCTTCAAGTAAGGAATCAAAAACAATTTCATTTTGGAAGGAACTACTTTTATTATTTCTAAGTGGTGAATAAGCTCTGCTTAGCATTCTTCAAGTAAGAGATCTTATTGTATTTAGTTTATAACTGTGTATATTTATTAGATAGGAATGAGGAAAGAACTCAGTGTTGTCTGATTCATTGCCTAGGGATCCTTAGACAATGTCTGAATCATTCTTTGACGAGGATTATTATACTTATGAAATCGTAATGATGCATTTTCTATTCAGTTATCATACATATATGAAATGAATAGAAAATTTCATTTTTCATGATGATCTATCAGGAAGTAACGGCTACATCCATCAATTAATTGTGGCATTCCTAATCCTAGCATCTTAATTAGGAAAATATACCTAATTACTAACTATGTTTTGAATCAATTGTAATCATTTCAACAGGTATGTACCTAACTACTGAGTTATTAACTTTTTTTATCATTTATATTATATTAGACGTTTGGGGAAAAAGCATTATTTTTAATTGGCGTCTGTAATACCTATAAATATATAGTGTGTCCGCAAAGTATGGAATAAATTCCATATTTCTGAAAACAAAGATCTTTTTATAAAAACCTAAAGAATATCGATTTTTAATTTTAATAATCTACATTTTACAACAAAATTTCATTATACAGGGTAATCCATATTAATGTGATGACGTCATCAGTAATTTTT